GAGTCAGTGAAATACTATGTAAGGGCTAATCATCAATTGAAAGGGCAAAAATGTGGGAATTTCTTTTCATTTTTCAGAAAATACCAAGACTTCATCAGGTACCGTATATTAAGTTGCTATGTGGCGGAAATGTAGAAATTCCTCTTTTTTTTCCATCTCTACTTCTATTTATCATACATATCTTACAGCTGTGCTCAGAAAATACTCAACATTTTACAATTTTGATTGATATTTTCCTTTTTGTCAATGTATAGCATAAAACCCACCAATTTAGTAGATTTTGAGCTAGCTACTGATTCAGAATTTTAAGAAAAGGACGTTTTCATTACACAAATTCCAAATATAAAGCTAGAATTAAAAATACATGTAGATGTAGTATATCAGCAACAAGCCATTGAAGCATAATGCATGTTTAGATTATATTAGCTACTTAAATTAAGGAGGGCATGCAAAGACAATGTCATTTCTTTCACGGTCGTATTTTAAACCTTGTGCGTTTCTCCTAGGCAATAAATGAGAATGTCAAAGTTTTCTTATCAAATACACATGATATATGGGATAATAAAAGCCAGTCAGATAATATGAGTTATTTGTATGCAGGTGGTATCTAATCATGTACATTCACCATTTAGACAGCAATTGTCAATTATATCTGACCACCAACTGATCAAAATCCAATTTTATTATTTCCTGTCCACTCGATTTCATTTTTAATTTTGAAATCCTCCCATTTATTTAGAAATTACTGATACTTACTTGTCAAAATATTGAAAGTCCCCTTATTATATGGTTTCCTAGTAGTACCAAAGTCTTCTGAGCCCTCCCTGGGTTTCCCATTGTTACATTATAGTTTAACTGTAATTCCGTCTCATTTAAATGTAAATCAGTTTATTGTAGTAACGGAATAATCAATGCAAAATTCAAAATACAATCACAAATATCATTTATCATTTTTAATACAATGTGTGTACGAGACATAAATTGATCTACATCATTAATTAAATTGGGCAAACATTGTGAAAGAAATTTAACAGCGATGTTTGTTTGTTTGTTTACTCTAATTATAAAAAATTAGATTTAGATGACAGATTCCCTGATTGGACATCTATATCTGCAATAGTGCTCTAGATATGAAATTTATGCATTTATAATGAAGCCACATAACCATATAATGAATTCCATATCTAAGATGTGCATATATTTATATATACAGTTGTTGAACCAAGTTGGTCTACTAACTAAATGATATGTTTAACGATGTCAGCATGGTAACATTGAAATTGTTACTATGCAATTCTGCTATCCATGTAAAGCTCCATTGTTAGCAATGCACATTTCAATTGCAAAATTGAGAATATCATCACAAAATGTACACATCTGAGAGAGGTCCACCTGAGGTTCCTACATCTATGATATCATTGCATCCAGACTTGCGGTTTTCAAGAAGAATCCAAAAAAGTAACAAGCAGCCTGTCGGGTGAGATAGCTCTGCTGTTACATGTAGCAATGCACATTTTAATTAAGAATTGAAGATATCATTACGAAATGAACAAATCTGATAGAGGTCCACATGTAGTACCTATATATGTAATATCAAAGCAATCAGACTTGCTGTTTTTAACAAGAAGTCGAAAATATCACTTTTTACCAAAAATATTCATCAAAATTGGAGAATTGAAGATATCATCATGAAATGAACAAATCTGAGAGAGGTCCACATGTAGTACCTATATATGTAATATCAAAGCAATTGGACTTGCCGTTTTTAACAAGAAGTCGAAAATATAACTATTTACCAAAAATATTCATCAAAATTGGAGAATTGAAGATATCATCATGAAATGAACAAATCTGAGAGAACTCCACATGTAGTACCTATATAATTAATATCAAAGCAATCAGACTTGTGTTTTTTAACAAGAAGTCGAAAATATCACTTTTTACCAAAACTTACAAAAATATTCATCAAAAACAGAGATTTTGAGATTTTGACATGAAATGAACAAATCTAAGAAAGAAGCATCCAAGGTACCTGCATATCAAATTTTAAAACATTCTGACTTGCGGTTTTGAAGAAGAAGTTGAAATTGTAAATTTGACAACGCCGGAGACGGACAATCAGTAATATGAACAGCTCCGCTGTGTCGACTTTGTCTAAAAAGTTGACACAGTTGATGACAACAGACAATCAGTAATATGATTAGCTCCGCTCAATGAAGTTGACAGCAAAGCTAAAAAGCTTGACCAACATTACTGATACTCAATATTAACATTGTTTTCGCAGTAAAAAATTGAACTAAAAAAACATTGACTTACTGTTCCTAGTCTTGGTGTAGAAATATCTTGTGGAACACCCCCAATATATAACCCGGTGTCAATATTCATACTGGTTGCCAAACCAGGAGCTGTGCCATTCACATACTCACTACCATCAACCACAATAGTTCCATCAAGCCGATTACGAATCACTGTGATCTGCAAGAAAAATAAAATAATGGATTTGTTTTTATAATAGTAAAGATCTTGGTATACTGAATTATGTAAATATAATTTCATGTTGATATATATCAGATATAATTATTTTGTTTGTAGCTACTGAACACTTATTCAATTGAACACCTTTAAGTAAATACCACTGAACATCACTATTAAAGCAAACATATCAAACCATGTGCATTAATTTCACAATCTTCTTTCGAATATCTGGTAATAGACTGATGACAAGAAAATTGTACATCTGGTAATGGCACAGATGACCAGAAACCTGTACATCTGGTAATGGCACAGATGACCAGAAACCTGTACATCTGGTAATGGCACAGATGAGCTGAGACCTGTACATCTGGTAATGGCACAGATGACCAGAAACCTGTATATCTGGTAATGGCACTGATGACCAGAAACCTGTATATCTTGTAATGGTACTGATCGATGACCAGAAACCTGTATATCTTGTAATGGTACTGGTCACCAGAAACCTGTATATCTTGTAATGGTACTGGTCACCAGAAACCTGTATATCTTGTAATGGTACTGGTCACCAGAAACCTGTACATCTGGTAATGCACAGATGACCAGAAACCTGTACATCTGGTAATAGCACTGGTGAACCAGAAACCTGTACATATGGTAATGCACAGATGACCAGAAACCTGTACATCTGGTAATGCACTGATGACCAGAACCCTGTACATCTGGTAATGGCACTGATGACCAGAAACCTGTATATCTTGTAATGGTACTGGTCACCAGAAACCTGTACATCTGGTAATGCACAGATGACCAGAAACCTGTACATCTGGTAATAGCACTGGTGACCAGAAACCTGTACATATGGTAATGCACAGATGACCAGAAACCTGTATATTTGGTAATGCACAGATGACCAGAAACCTGTATATTTGGTAATGGCACTGATAACCAGAAACCTGTACATCTGGTAATTACCAGATGACAAGAAACCTGTACATCTGGTAATGCACTGATGACCAGAACCCTGTACATCTGGTAATGGCACTAATAACCAGAAACCTGTACATCTGGTAATGGCACTGATGACCAGAAACTACTACATCTGGTAATGCACTGATGACCAGAACCCTGTACATCTGGTAATGGCACTGATAACCAGAACCCTGTACATCTGGTAATGGCACTGATAACCAGAAACCTGTACATCTGGTAATTAACAGATGACTAGGAACTTGTACATCTGGTAATGCATAGATGACTAGAA